GGAACGGGAACTAGGAGAGACGGATTATACTATTTTAGCAAACCGAAAAGTGTGTCTACTGTTGAAGCTACATCAAAGTTGGAGTTGTGGCATCGTCGACTCGGACATCCCTCGGAAAAAGTAGTTAAGTTAATTCCTTTTGTTAGCAATAATAAAGATCATTTAGATCCGGGGTGTGAAGTATGTATGCGTGCTAAGCATTCAGGAGACAAATTTCCTTTGAGTGATAATAAAGCTTCCAGAATTTTTGAAAAAATACATTGTGATTTGTGGGGTCCATATCGACATGTTTCGTTGTGTAGAGCTCGCTATTTTTTAACAATAGTTGATGATTATTCAAGAGCTATTTGGATTTATTTGTTGGTTGATAAATTAGAAGTTTTTCAAATGTTAATGGCCTTGTTGCTATGGTTGATAGATAATTTTCTCAAACAATTAAAGTTGTTCAAAGTGATAATGGGACAGAGTTCAATTGCTTGCTTGATTTTTTTAATGCAACTGGGATTTTGTTTAAAACTTCTTGCGTCGGTACACCACAACAAAATGGGAGAGTTGAGAGCAAACATAAACACATTTTGAAAGTTGGTCGGGCATTACGCTTTCAAGCAAATTTGCTTATTTATTTTTAGGGGGAATGTGTACTTGCTGTCGCACACTTGATTAATCATACCCCTACTCTCCTTTTACATTAAAAGAAGGAGGTTTATCAAAAAGTATTTTGAAAGCAGCAAGTACACATTCCCCCCAAAAATAAACCTCCTTCTTTTAATCATACCCCTACTTACGACTGAGGGTGATAAGTTTGCAAGTAGAAGTCGTAAGTGTGTCTTTGTTGGTTATCCTTTTGGCAAGAAGGGTTGTAAATTGTTTGATCTTGACACTAAAGAGTTCTTTGTGTCACGAGATGTGAAATTTGTTGAGGAGATTTTCCCGTATAAATGTCCGGAGGATGTCAATATTATATGCAATAGCAATGATGATCAAGATGTACATAGTGACTTTGTCGAAAATGATTTTGCAATATTTGAAGATGCAACCAACTTAGGTTTTGATAGATTGAATGATGAGGATTTGAGCACGAATGGGTATCAAGAAGAAGCCCAATCTAGAATTCCCTCTACTGGGCTACTCGCTAGAAACTCAGTGCCAGCTGGCTGGACCAGCGACACCAGGCAGCACCTTCTGGTCTGTTCGCTGGAAACCCAGCGCCAGCTGGGCCGGTTCAGCAGCCCAACACTGAGCCTCCAGCTCTTCATCATCAGCCCACCAACTCTCCAGATTCGGACCAGCTCATCACCGAGCCCACTAGAACCCACAGATAACATGGGTCGTGGGTTTCATCAAAAGTTTCCAAATGTCCTACATCGTGATTATGTGAAAATACGGTTTTTGCTGATAGTCTGTCCTCCTTTCCTTCCAATCACTCCTCAGGTACTCCTTATCCTTTAGCACATTACATAAATTGCGATAATTTTTTCTATCAAGTATCAGAAATTTCGTGCAGCTATTATCAAGGGTAAGGACCCAAAATCATTCAAGGAGGCAATGAAATAAGATGGGTGGCGTCAATATATGAAAGAAGAAATCTGTGCTTTAGAAGACAATGGTACATGGACCTTGGAGCATCTTCCTCTCGGGAAACGTACCGTGCTCTTGGCAGTCAATAGGTCTATAAAACCAAGTACTTATCCAATGGTGATATTGAGCGCCTAAAATCAAGATTAGTGGTGTACGGTAATCATCAACAAGCTGGAATTGACTATGATTAAACTTTTGCTCCGGTAGCTAAGATGACCACTGTTCGAGCTGTTCTTGCGATAACGGCTTGCAAGAATTGGGAATTACATCAAATGGATGTTCATAATGCCTTTCTGCATGGTGATCTAGATGAAGAGGTCTACATGAAATTGTCCCCCGGCTTTGAGAGTTCGGATCCTTCTTTGGTGTGCAGGTTGCGCAAGTCATTGTACGGCTTGAAGCAAGCTCCTAGGTGTTGGTTTGCAAAATTGGTGTCGGCCTTGAAGGGGTATGGTTTTCTCCAATCGTATTCTGATTACTCCTTATTTACATATACTAACGGCACAACTCAGATTAATGTCTTAGTTTATGTGGATGATCTTATTATTTATGGGAATGATTCCGTTGCACTTAAGGTTCTCAAGGCATATCTCAGTGATTGCTTCAAAATGAAAGATCTTGGTTCACTTCAATATTTTTTGGGTATTGAGGTGGCTCGTAGTTCGTCTGAATTATTTTTGTGTCAACGAAAGTATACTCTGGATATTATTTCTGAAACAAGTTTATTGGGAGCAAAGCCTAGTGGATTTCCCATTGAACAAAATCACAGACTTGCTCATGCTAGTGGCGAATTACTGAAGGATCCCAAAGTTTATCGTCGTCTTGTGGGACAGCTTATATATCTCTCGCTCACTCGACCGGATCTAGCTTACTCAGTTCACATTCTATCACAGTTCATGCCGGCACCACGCATAGAACATTGGGAGGCCGCCTTGCTAGTTGTTCACTATCTAAAAGGAACTCCCGACCAAGCCATATTGTTGCGTTCGGATAGTGAGCTCACATTAGAGGGATAGTGTGACTCAGATTGGGCGGCGTGTCCACTCACTCGACGCTCGTTGACAGGATGGCTAGTGTTTTTAGGAAAATCACCGATTTCTTGGAAAAGTAAAAAGCAAGATACAGTTTCTAAATCTTCTGCAGAGGCGGAATACAGGTCCATGGCAGGAGTCACTTGTGAGTTAAAGTGGCTTAAGGCTTTATTGTTGAGTTTGGGTGTGCAACATCCTAAAGCTATTAAACTATTTTGTGATAGTGAATCGGCATTACATATTGCAAGGAATCTTGTTTTTCATGAGGGAATTAAGCATATAGAAGTTGATTGCCATTTTGTTCGCGATGCGATAAATGAGGGCTTGATTTCACCATCACATGAGCGAACTAAGCATATAGAATTTATCTTATTTTACATATATTGATCAATAATTTTTTTAAAAATTGGAACAATGCTTTTCAGTTTAAGAAAATAACAAACATACAACATTACTATTTGAGAATGAGTAAATTGTTATAAACTATAGAGAAATTTCAAGAGGTTGTTCGAAATATGACCTATTATTTTATTAAATAACGTCGTCTTTGGCAATATAGATTTGTGTTTGATGCTATGTTTTGTGTTCTAATAGGAAGTGTATTGATGTAATATAATTAATTATAATGATAATTGTGGTATATAGCTTCTCAAAAGTTGAATTGGTCCTACTTCAAAGTTATAATTAAACTATGTTTCTAACAATGTTTTTTTATTTTATTTTTTTGTGATAGTAACACAAAGACACTTGATATATGAATCATGTCGATAAAAAACGACACTTGATATATGAATCATGTCGATAACGAGGGTTAATTAGGTATGAATATATCCTAATTTAATCTTATTTCTAATTAAGCCAATAATTTATACAACATACACTAAAATAGCCTATCTAAATTGAGGAAAAGAAATACAGAAGTGAGTCAAGTGACAGAATCTTTTTTGGCCAAAGGCTAGCAATCAACATTAAGAAACTTTAACGGCAAATAATTCCTATTTGACACGAAGCTGATTTCTTGTTGGTCCAATCCAATGACATACTTATATGCATATATTAAACCTTATTTTATAAGAAGTTCTTATAATCATATTCATTAATTGGCGAGGTTAGGTATGCAAAGCATAATTAATTTAGAAATTAACTATAAAACAGCATCTTAGCAATAACAAAGTGGCTCTTTTTTTCTTCTTAATTTTCATGGCTTAATTGCTTGAATAAAGCGTAACATATAGCTAACCGTAGGCACATTACTTTATCCCCATTGTCGAGATATTAGGGATATAGAATCGATGCCTAAGTAAAGGGAATGATTTTTGATACTTCAATGATATGCTAATGTGATTTTATACTCATTTCAACTTTTAATTTGACAACAACGTTTCCGGATATTGAATTTCGATCTTATATTATTTTTATAAGCATTTTGAAATTAGAGATTAAACTTTAAATAAAAATAATTTTTTTTTTTTTTTTTTTGGTGTTTCACCTGCTTCACCCTTTGGGCTAATCCGGATTCGGAGATCAGTTTTGGAAGGTTAGGTTTCAGTCCCCTCTCAATTATTGTTGTGGGGGATCAAACACACGGTTCTCCCTACCTAGTGTAGTCCCAATCACCACTACACCAACAATCATTTAGTACGGAGTAAAATAGATAAGAATGTGTGTTTTCATCAACTCGCAAATGTTACTTGAATAATTATGATTGCTAAAAGGTACTTAGTATCTAAACATTAATTATCAAAATTTCAGAGTGATAAACTATTCCGTAAAAATTATGAGACCGGACGAGAGGGGAGGGAGGGGGTGTACATAAACGTATTTCATTCGCAATTACTTAGCTAGATGTAAATTAATCCCTAATTTTAAGTAATTATGTCTTGTTTAAGGCCAAAGATGATGTTTATGGCAATTTTATGTCTAATTCATTTTTAAAAGTTATACAAGAATGTATCAATAAATTTTCATGATTATATTGTTTATATTAATTTGGTAAGGAGTCACATCCTTCCCTCCCGTTTTTAGTTATGAAAAATAGGGAACCTTTCTGATTATGTTCAACTTATCAGAGCTAATTTGGTTTGATTTAAATTTGTTTATCTGTTTTGGCCTCATTATTTTTTTCTAATCAAAGCTCTTTTTTTTTCTATTTCTTTTCTCTCCCTAATCAAACATGATTTGGCCATATTTAATCATTTTATTTATAAAAAAAAAAAAAAAAACATATTATTCGCCTAGATAAGCTAAATTGTACATTGAAGCTATCGATACATTTGAAGCTAAACATGAACTTAAAATGTAAAAAGATGAAAAGGGTAACATTGAAGATAAGACTACCCTTGTAAAATAATAAGAAGCCAGTAATTTTATTGTGTAATACAACCCAAAACACAATTTGAAACAAATCCATACTCTAACCAGAGTAACCACAAATGTTCTAAGAAACCACCAACATAAAGATGAGCTTAATTCTGGACAACCCTCCTTAATAAAGGGAACAAACTCGCAACATAGCTGAAACAAAATTCAACTGTTGTACTAAAACTCGAGATATTGTCTGTTGCGGGATTATAAACGCACAGATGATCACCATCGATGTGGAGCAGCAGATCACCATCCATTCGTGCAGTCATAACATTTGGACCATAAGGTGTAGGAAATGGTCTGGAAGTGAACAGACACTGCCATGCCAATGTGACTCCAAAGTCATCATCAAATTCAGTGGCTACCCAAATGTAAAAACTACCCACTAACTCAGGACGGAATCTGCGGGTGACAAATATTGCGAGACATTCCTTGTACAACCCAGTATCATAATCTGTGTCACTAGGAACAGATAAATAATCTCAATCCACTTGAGGAAGATCAGAAAATTTAAAAAGCTCAGTGCTCATATTAAATGATAGGACCCAATACAAGTGACGCTGAGCTAGCTTAGGGTGCAAATGACTTCCTATGACTCGGGAAATCCAATAATAAACACCATTTATGCATGAATCCATAACAGGATGTTGAATAACGCCAAGACAACCCAATAACAATGGCGGCTCAAGTCTCTTCCAAGAGTTGGTGTTAAAAGAGTAAATATCGTATGCTAATCTTTTGTCACAACACAAGTTTTAGTCAGAATCTTCAAATCATTAGACATTGAATGAAACATAAAACCAACTACCACAACATTGCGTCCATGTTGAAGATCAAGATCTGGTGCATCAGGATAGGCCATCATCTTAAAATCTCTTGTGGCCGGATTTCATAAGCAATAACTAATACAAACCCTCGTCCATTCTTGACCGATGCACCAAAGTTCAAGACAAATGATGCCATTTGCACTGCCTCTACAAATAACTTTATCTATTCTACATGAGGGATCTATTGCGAAAATAGAATTTTTACCACGTTCTAGATCAGAATTCAAATTCAAAACAATGTCATCCCCTTGTTGTTTAGAGAGAAGATACCATTGGCTTGGAGGTAAAGTTGGGCTAACACTTTCAGGTGCGCGCTTCATAAGAAGGAGAGGCACATCCCCATTTTCTTTGGACATGGCATATTGAGCACGGTGGTGCAGCGAAATGAAGATAGAATCGTCAATGAGGGCACACCATGACTTACTGACACATCGCAAACGCAATAAGTCTTTCACTGGCAACCTTGAAAGGATACCCTCAAACAGATCATCAGGAAGAATGCAGTTTGTTTCCCCAGAATCCATTTTGCTACAAGTAAATAAATTAGGTGAATTTCAACTGTTTTTAACATTAACATACTTCTCCAATGTCTCCTAATTCCAAATGCTACAGATTCTTATCAAAAGTTATCATCTTGCAAGTAATAATATGTTCTTCAACTGAATTATTATCAATCACATTGGAAGTAAATTAGGTATTAAATTGGAGTGAATTAGTTGATTCCAATTAAAAACAAGCAGATTAAAATTTTGGATATTGAATGATCAATTTCATACGCCAGCGCCTTAATTACTGAGTATACAAATTACAGATCAAATCAAATTCTGAAAATACTTATTTAAAATAGGGAATTAAATAACAATTATCAGTTCAATAAGATAACAAAACTCGTGAAAAGGTAATCAATAATATCACAGACAATCATGGTTTTGTAATGACATTAAAGCAGGGTTATACAAACCAAACCCTAAATTGAATAAAATTAACGATAAACCCTAGATTGAGAAATTGATATTCTATGATAAAAAATAAAGATATCTAACCTTAGAAGCTGCTTCAATGGAGAAATCGACCAAAAGTTTGGATGAAATGAGTCTCATTAATCAACAACCCAAACTGGAAAGGGTAGAGAGGAGAGAGAAAGAGGGGAAAAGAGATAAGTTCAGAAACTTCAGGCTTGATGATGAAGGATGCAATTATATGACAAGATGAAATTATAGTGAATTAATACACTAGTTATTAAAGTGAATGCATGGGCTTTTTAGTCCATTAGAGAGGATTTTTTTATTTTTTATTTTTTATTTTTTTTAAGGCAAACAACGTATGATTTTATGCAATTTAATTGACTTGAGTAAAATAAAATGTAAGTGAAACACTTGTGTATTAAAATATTATAAAAGAAAGATTTTATGGTAATAGTTTATGAAAATTTGTAAGGAAGGACCTTTCATAGTCACTTGTTTGTGAGAAAGAACCTTGTAAAAAATAGTGCAGATTGACACCTTGTTTCAAAAAAATTTTGTGAGATGGGAACTTTCGACGGAATCTGGCTATTAACCCTCAAAAACCACTTCCAACTCGCCGAAAACCACTCCCACCTCGCCGAAATCTCACACTGACCCTCGAAAACCCCCTCCACCTCGCCAAAATTCCACTCCGACCCTCGAACCTAGCCCCATCCCCACCATAACCACCACCACCCCAAATTCCTGAACCCAGCCTTGAACACGCTCTAAAACTGACCCCCGATACATCTCGAAACCTACTACAAACGTCCTTCGATTTCTGGGTTTCGAGGGAGGGCAGGTTTTCTAGGTTTTAAGGGAGTGTTTTTGAGGTGGTTTTCTAGGTTTCGATAGAGTGTGGTGGTTGGTTGGTTGGGTAGGGTGGGGCTTCTAGGTGGAGGGGTGACGAAGAGGGAATAAGGGGAGGCTATGGGGACGGGGTGGGGTTATTGGGGAAGGCGAAGAGGGGATAGGGGTGGCCGTTCATGCGAGGGGGGGGGGGGGGACGCAGGGGTTGGGGAAGGGGTGGTGAGGTGGAGGTGGTTTTTTTCAATGTTACGTTCGTGGCACGTGATAGTCAACGGGGGAAATTGTAGTTAAATGGCCAGATTCCATCAAAAGCTCCCATCTCAAAATATTTTTTTTTTTTGGAATAAGCTCTCATCTCACAACTATTTTTTTTTGAAATAAGGTCCTAATCTGTTATTTTTATTTTATGTATATATAAGGTCCTTTCTCACAAACAAGTCAATATAAAAGGTCCTTTCTCGCAAATTTTCCTAAAAGTAATGAATGTGGTGGAGAGAAATACGTTCGTATTTGGTAATTGGTAAGTTTAACACTTAAATAAACACGAAGGTAGTACTACTTGAAAAATTGCACAACTGTTTTCAAGTTATAATGCATTACCATTGATAATTTGATATTGATCCCATCCACAACTTGGTTGTGTTCAAGATTTACACAAAGCGAACAGAGCAATTAACTCGTACACAGGGATAGTTACAGAACTTCCACAATTTACAACAACGTAAGTTATAATGGGATTTTAACTACTGTCATACATCTTACACGAGTAACAAAAACACTCATTGATTATGAGGTTGTCTCTCTAGAAATAAGGGATGAAGTATGCCTCTCCACACTCATAGAAGATTGAGCTAAAGGAGTTTGGAATGAGGATGATGACGAGGGACCAGGGGCTGAAGTGGCAAATGTGGAAAGAGCGCTAATACTACCACTCATATTCAAGCTAGTCCCGCTGATTGAACCTTCCGGGGCTGCCTTTGGGGCCGGAGGCTTTTCAATCGCCATAATCCCTTCCAACATCTGCACAACTTTACCCATCATAGGCCTTTGAGATGGCTGCTCTTGTATACACCAAAAGCTAACTTGAATTGCTCTTGTCACTTGATCCATATCCACAGCAAAGTCAGCAAGCCTCCTGTCTAGTATATTTCCCACCTTTCCCTTCTCAAACTCCTCATATGCCCAAATAGAGAACTTCTTCCTGTCTGTTTCGTTTGACACTTCAAAGTTTCTTCTGCCACTCACTATCTCCAACAACACCATACCAAAACTATATACATCAGATTTTGAAGTTATTGGAAGATTGGCAAGCCATTCAGGTGCCAAATATCCTCTTGTACCTCTTACACTTGTGAGGGTGCGATATCTATGGTCTTTTGGGTTTACAAGCTTTGCAAGGCCAAAGTCTGAAACTTTGGCATTGTAGTTATCGTCTAAGAGAATGTTTTCTGGCTTTATATCACAGTGTACAATGCAATCCCGACATTCCTCATGAAGATAAGTAATTCCTCTTGCAGTTCCGAGGGCGATGTTGAACCGATGCTCCCAACTTAGGAGTCTTCCTGATTCATCCTCTGTTGCAAAGAGGAAACTATCAAGAGAGCCATTTTTCATGAACTCGTAAACCAAAAGCCTATGTTTCCCCTCAGAGCAAAAGCCTATCAACCTAACCAAATTCAAATGATGGGTGCTACTGATGGTAGCAACCTCCATTCTAAATTGTTTTTCCCCCTGTTCAATACCCTCGAGCTGCTTCACTGCAGCGACAGTTCTATTGGCAAGGATCCCCTTGTAAACCGCCCCAAAACCTCCTGCACCAAGCTTCTCCTTGAAGTTCCTTGTAGCTTGCTGGAGGTCTTTGTATGAAAACTGTACAGGTGCACCTGATGCATACTCGAGAAGGGCATATTGAGCTGACAAACCTCCAAACTTCGGACTCTTTCTACAGCACCACCACCACAGACTTCCTTCTAATAGTATCAATCCAACAAGGGTACCTAGAACAACCACTGCAATGATCCAACCTTGCAGCTTCTCCTTTCCTCCTCCGTCCTCAGAGGAAGGAGCGGCATTTGGTTCGGCTGGGGAACAAACCTTAACATACGAGGTGCTAGGTAGAGCTGCAGACTCATATCCACTTACAAAACTCGATGTCTTAATATAACACTGCCCCGATCCATCAGCTAAAGTAGTCGAAGCTACACAAGAACTACCCGAAAGACAATTGCCCCTACAAGCCGAAATACCCACAAAGTAAACATCATTCAAAGTCTCAGGAGCATACGTCAGGAACTTAGTATGCTCCATCTGCAACATCGCGACACTCCCAGGACAATCCTTAATCTCCCTCCGCAACTTACACCCTTTCCTACTATCATTTGGATCAACGGAAACGAAATTCTCCGACGGGCAACCACACACAGGACTAGTATCATTGTAACTACAAATTCCCATATTCCCACAATACCCAAAAACCTGACATTGATCACTAACAGCAGTCCATCTCACAGTAGCACTCCCACTACCTTTACTAGAACTATAAATCCTCAAATTCCCATCATTATCCAACCTTAAAAACCTCAAAATATCCCCAGATTCAGCATAATCACTCCCATAAGCCATAATCACAGAACCAGTTAAATTACCATCATAAAGTGACAAAATCCCAATTGATTGAAGCTGTAATCTAGGGTTACTCAAATTAGCACTTACAGTATCATTCAACCCTAAACTCCAATAAGCAATATCTTTATTCCACTGTAAAGTTAAATTCCCAGTTTTATTCAAAGTAAATGAATACAACCCAGATGACAAAACCATCCCAACATTAAAATTCTGAGATGGGACAATAGTATCAGTGGGATGATCAAAAGTAGTCCAAACAACAGAATTAGACCGATTTTTTAGGGAAAAATTACCAGAATCATCAAGGGTAGCATGTGTAACGCCGGAATTCGAAGTATTCGACTGCCACAACAGATTACCGGTGCCGGAAAGCAGTCGGAGATTCCCGTTGGCGAGAAACGAGAAAGTTGCGGCGGAGTCTGCGACGGCGGAAATAGACCAAATGGGAAGAGAATCATAGGTGATTGAGAGAGAGAAAGAGGAAGAATTTAATGGGAGAAATCGGAGAGAGAAAGATTTGTTTGGAGAAGGCCATGTTTGATTTGGGGTTGAAGCTGAAAGAGATGAACCCAGTGGAATATCTGCAGAAGCTGAAAGAGTGATGAAGATGAAGATGAGGATGAATGTTGAAGAAATTGTAAGATTTTGCTTCATTTTCATTTGGGAAATTTAAGATTGAAAGATTTTGTTCCAAATTGATCTGGGTATATATTTAGATTTGGTTTGGATTTGCAAATGAATTTGTGGGTTATAGTAATAAGTATTGAATTGAATTTGAGAGTTGTAGCATTTTTTACACGGTAAGTAGACCAGATAGTAGGAATGCAGAAAGAACAAGTCAACACAATGCTGTGAAATATCTACTTGTATAATGGATGATTTACCTAAGGTGGAAGATTTGTTGAATTGTTGTCCAAAACTTTTTTAGTGGATTGAAGAACGCATATTCAACTATTCAAGTATGATTCAATGCTGGCTACTAAAATTAATGTATATTCGTGAATAAACTCGGTCAAAACTATTCGATTATTATTATTAAATTATATCGAATAAATAAATTTAAATAGTAAATTTATTTTAATACTCGTACTAGTTAGAGCAAACTAACAACTAAGTTCTAATACCTTTAAACTTGTAGTTGACTTATTGTTAGCAAATTTTTGACATTGATTTTTATGTTTGATTATTGATAATTGTTCAAACTCGGTGTGTTAAAATAATTTGTATATTGATAATTCATAATTGTATTATGATAAATAAAGAAATTTTTAAAACTAAGAGTTTTGGTCTTATGGAGTACAATTTTTTAATTGAAGTATGAGAAAATCTCATTCCAATTATGTGAGCTTACAGACCTAAGTATACTTTAATACATAAAATCAAATGAAAATCTTCCCTATCAAATAAATTTAATCCTCAAATAAAAAAGTCATTTTTAAAAACTTCCCTTTCAAGAAAAATTTTTGATCAATAATTGTATTCATTATGTGTTTAAAATTTTTAGTACCCTTTTTCATGAAATTGGATACTAAAAAAGTGAGTAAAGCAAATCATTTTCCACGAACTAGGACAAGCTGGTAGAGCCATAATGATAAAAATATTTTTAAGAGAAAGTATTATATATGTAAGTTGAGATTAATAGTGAGACGGATATAAGTTATTAGATTTTTAAAATATAGACATAAGTTTATAGACATTACGTATAAGTTTTTGAAAATTTTATACAAGTTATTAGACATATGTATTAGTTTTTGAGTGGATGAAGACTCACGGTAAAAGAGAATCACCTAATATTTTGGGTATTTCAAGTTTTTTTTTTTTTACCCCAAACCGGGGGTGGAGCCATAGTTATTGACTTTATGCAAGAACGCCAACTGTGTATATGCATCACTTTCATCTTTTGATTAGCAACTTGACAGCGTAGTTACACATTTCACCAAACATCATATCACACATAAATTCATTATTTGAATATTTTCCCTTTTTTATTTATTTTCATGGCCCCTAATTTATTACTTTCTTTAACAATAATCTGTCGCAATTTCTTGTTGTTGGGGCTGAGTAGGAAGTTAGGAAAAGAAAATTCCAATGTTCTACATTTTCAATTTCTTCCTCCAAAATTTCAGATATTCTGAATGTTCTAAGTTGATTTTTTAAGAATTACTGCAATTTCTGAAATTTTTAGTCAAAAGTGAAAAAAAATACGGTAGAAGTTCGTGGCTTATACGAAATACGGAGTATGAATAGCACGAGTAACATGATTAGTAGATAGAGTTATTGATCCATGGCTAGTAGCGTGAAAGGCATATCCTGTTACAGATTGAGTGCTTGAAGGAGATCCAGTTGATTTGGCTTATGTACCGGCACCATCAATAGCTTATCCATCACCCGATTGCCCAGATTGACCAGCACAAAAGCCATTTCTATCAATCTACGCTCATTGATGAGACGGCTATATAGAAAAGAAAGTATACCCTTTGTCACCCTTTTTTTTCACTTTAAAGTCCAAAATAAAGATACAAACTTTGGAATAAAATTTGGTGGGATCGACGAATGCACTTGTGGTTAAGACAGGTCCTGCATCCCCTACTTAATGCAATTGACCGGCCCGGCATCTCTTTCATTCAATAATGCCTTCGCTTCTGAAAGTCTAACTGGCTAATACAAGAGGGGGGGTGAATTGTATTTGAGGTGAAATCTAAAAACTTTTTGCGGAATTTAACTAAATGAAATAGTGACGAGAGAAGATATAGGCTTTTCTAAATTTCCACTAAGTAATCAAACTCTTTACAAGTGAAGATTCAAACCCGTTAACAAGTTCCACAAATTAGGAACTTGTTCCCAACTCTCACAGAAGACTTCAGCAACGAAGCTTCCTTGACCTCACTTTACAAACTCACAATCCCAACCCCTAAGTACTTGAATACAATCTGTGATTACAAATACCTATTGCACTCAAGAATATATGAAGGAAAATAACTCTCTTTATGTTATTAAATGGCTACTGGAATTTTTATGCTCAAGAGTTATGTTTTTCTGAGATAGTTTGCATGAGTATTTATAGAGAAGGCTTAGTCATTAACCTCCACCATAATCACGTCCACATGTCAACAACCCACTAACAACTTGTGGAGTTATCTTGACAGATTGTGATCATGAAGAGGTTTCCTAGCCTTATCTAATTAAACCACTATCCTAACAACTTGATAACCATTAGCCGTATAAAAGATTTTCTCACAGAAAAACCACTTGCTAACTTTATCAAATATTTATTTAAAAGATTATCAAAAGTTTGTTTAAAAAGATTTTATTTGAAAAGATAAATTTATTATTTATTAAAACAACTAGATAATTATCTTCGATAATTATCTTTATTAAAACTTTTACAAATTATCTTTTCTTTAAGAAATTATCTTTTAAAACTAACTTTTATTCCAGTAGTCTTTAACATAAGTCATTGAGTTCCTTTCCGACTTTATATTATTGAGTGCTCACAATTAAAACTAGAACGTGAGATTTGCACGAGGCTTTTTAAAGAATGCTACTCCGCATCCAAGTTCCTACTCCGGAACGAACTTTGCTTGAACCCTTTATTCACCAAAGACTCAAAACATTCATTAGTCGAGTTTGTCAATTTGTCCATCAAAATCAAAAGGCTCAACAAATTCCCCCTTTTTGATGATGACAAACATTGACAAACTTAAGTAAATAAAATCATCCAGGCATGCAACAGAAATTTAAAGTAAGACATGAAAACAAAAAAAAACAGAGTAATTAAAGAACTTAAAAAAAAGCTAAAAAGTATTTATTTTAAAAAGACTGAGCAAAAGAGAAAAAATTAACAAAGACTTTAAAATCTTAGAAAAAGTTTAAAAACTTAGATTACTAGGACTTTATTAACTTAGAAAAGTTTGTACCTTCGATGTGTGAGTTCCTTGGTAAACACTTTAGCCGCCATGAAGTTTGTCTTTTCCCCCTTTTGGCATTATCAAAAGATTGAAAAAAAACATTTTGCTATACTCCCACTAGACTACGTAGGGAATAGTGAGCTCAAATAATGCAAGGCAAAAATAAGTTAGGTACTAAATCATCAGCAACCTCACACAATCATATGAAAAATACGAGCCAAGTTCCGATTTAGGAAATAGAAGAGGAACATAGAGAATGTAGCAAAGGATAAAGGCGTACAAACCAAAGTTCAGAGAGATTAAACAAGACCAAAATAAAATTGTTCAACATATGAAATTAGAATAAGTGCAATCAAGGATTTAAAAGGCTGCATTGGTAGGATCAAGGGTTGGATTTGTGGGATCAATAGAGTCTTCCTCGACTTCCTCAAAGGCTACTCTGTTGATAGTTTCCAAGATCTCCTTGTTGCCTTCACTAAACTTGCCTTCAGCCTGTGCAAGCTTTGCCTCTACGCCTGCAAATCCGGTTGCTTGAGAATCTGCCAGAGCCTGCACCTGGCCTTTAAGAGAAAGCAGTTCCGAGGCCATTTCCTCCAGTTTCTTGCTCACCAGAGTAGTCAACTTCTCCATATCTGCTTGAACCTGTTGAAAATCATAAACAGACACACGAGTTCCAGAGAAAGCAGCAAAGCCAGTAGGCTGAAATGGAGGAGGAGAAGGTGAATGAGAAGGCTGCCTAGTAGGTGAGACAGGAATAGAAGAGGGTTCAGTGGAAGAGGGAACTTGGGTAGGTTTGAAGGTGGAATCAGATTTGTCTGAGGAGCTGATGGTTTCTACAGTCACAGGGTGTGTAGTAGAAAGGGCAGGCTTGACCACATTCCTCTTACTCCTTCTAAGGCCCCCTGTAAACACAGGAATGACAGGTGGTCCAGCTGTGCTCTCAGAGTCTGTGGTATGTTCCCTCTCACTTTGATCAGTTCCCTGCCCCTCATGTAAGTCAGATTGTCGAGCTTCCCCCTCAGAAACTTCCATATGTTCCCCCTCAGAATCTTCCTGTTTTTCTCCTTGCACATCTCCCTCAAGTATTTTTTCTTTGTTTTTCTCTCCGTTAGAACTTTTTTCTTCTTCCTTATCTCCCTCAGAATCACTGGAGGTGGTAGCACCCTCACTAGCCTCCTCACTACCCTGGTCACTGCTTGCATCACATTCTTCCTTAGCTTCTTTCCCTTTCCCTTTCTTTTTCTCCCCTCCTTTCCGAGGCACAAAACATACTTTGCCATTTGTAAGCCTAAGACTCAGTCTAAGTAATGATTGTTCAGAGAGGATATTATCGGGTTTGAGATATGTTGGGGATTCACATTCAACATCAATACCAAAAGATTTGAACAACACAGTAAGGAAAGAGCCATATGGAATTGTGGTCTTTTGAGCATAAAAATTCAAGTGTTCAATCATTAGAGCAGGGAAATGAATCTGTATTTTGCATGCAAGACAGAATATGAGGGAGGCATCCAAGAGTGATACGGTACTCCGTTTTTGTAAACGGGGTACTATACCCTTCCAGGTGAAGGTAAACAGTAGCTTATGAAGGGGTGTTAGGGCATGATGGTGAGTAGTTTTCACTTTCGGATTTCCTCCAATAAATTGAAGGATTTTGCATTCATCATTATGGCCAATGTTTACAGATTGTTTGTGCTTTAAATAAGAACAATAGCCTTTAACAGGAACTTGAAATAGATTTCCAAGATAATTGGCATCAAACGAAATTGGAATATCATTAACTACGGCCGAGCACACACCATTATCACATTGAAAGGTATTTTTGAACTCATAAATAAATTTAGGATAAACAGGGTAATGAGAACAATTCTGGAACAAGTGAGTCCATTTTTGATAATCAATTAAAGAAGTAAATTCAGTGAACTTACTCGCCACACACCAATCATAGTTGATGTGATATCCGAGAGTGTAATTCCATGATGGGAATTTGGTGGTTGCGCGCCGTTTCCTGTCGC